TGTCTATGGATAATGCCGGCTCTTTGGCTTAGGAACAGAGATAAGCACCAACCTTCAGAGTTGGATACGACTGGACTTACCTTTACCTTATGCATGACTGACAAAACTGAATTGCATCCGACAGGTGTTGTTGTTCATTTGTTCAGTCGTTTCCGACTCTTTGTGACCTCATGGACCAGCCCAAGCCAGAGCTCGCTGTTGGCCGTCACCACCCCCAGCTCCTTCAAAGTCAATCCAGTCACTTCAAGGATCCTATCCATCCATCTTGCCCTTGGTCAGCCCCTCTTCCGTTTTCCTTCCATTTTCCCCAGCAGGTAGAACAAGCAATATAGAAAGTGCTTCTGAATAACTCCATGAAAATAGGAAATCCCATGCCTCAAAGGCTATTCCTGGGAGGTATTTTATTTAATACCTGAAACTGTTTTACTTTCAATGTGCTCATTTGCTCCTATTGACTACCGCACATTGAGGCACCTTCCACACTGCCATAGAATCCAGATTACCAAGGCAGATAATCCACTGGATCATATGAGCCTACACTGCCATATAATCCCATTTAAATCAGATAATCTGGATTTTATATGGCAGTGTAGAAGGGGCCTGATTCATCCCAGGACTTCTAGATAAACTTTGTTTCCTCCGCCAAATATGTTACTGATTGGAACTTATACTTTTTTTAAAATTTCAGAAAATGAAAATGGTGCCTGTTCCAGAAAAGGCTTACGGGAGTTTCTTCGAAGGGGACTGTTACATCATCGTAAATGTAAGTAGCTCTGATCATGCGCTTGAGTTTGGGTGCAGAAAAATAGGGGGAATGCTACATATAGGGATTCATTTCAGCACTTTTCACATAATGCAGATTTTGTGTAAACAAAAACCCTATTTTTATTGTGTGCGCCATAGAACCACACTAGAAGACCAAGAGAGGCCTGGAGAAATGTCTCTCTAGAGCAATGGTTCTCAATTTTCCTAATGCCACGACCCCTTAACATAGTTCCTCATGTTGTGGTGAACCCCCAACCATAACATTATTTTTGTTGCTACTTCATAACCGTAATTTTGCTACTGTTACGAATCGTGATGTAAATATCTGATATGCAGGATGTATTTTCATTCACTGGACCAAATTTGGCACAAATACCCAGTGCGCCCAATTTTGGCCACTGGTGGGGTCTGGGGAAGGGGGAATAATTTTGTCATTTGGGAGTTGTAGTTGCTGGGATTTATAGTTCACCTACAATCAAAGAGCATGCCGAACTCCACCAACAATAGAATTGAACCAAACTTAGCACACAGAACTCCCTACACTGGCTACACTGCACTCTAGTGTATATAGTAATGTAAAGGTAAAGATTTCCCCTGATGTTAAGTCTAGTCACTCATCTCTTTTTCTAAGTCAAAGAGCCAACATTGTCCATAGATACCTCCAAGTTCATGTGGTCGGCATGACTGCATGGAGCGCCGTTATCTTCCCACCAGAGCTGTACCTATTGATCCTCTCACATTTGCATGTTTTGGAACTGCTAGGTTGGCAGAAGCTGGACCTAACAGCGGGAGCTCATTCCACTCCCTGGATTCAAACTGCCAACCTTTTGGTCAACAAGTTTGGCAGCTCAGCAGTTTAACCTGCTGCACTACCAGCCCCCTCCCCCCCTGCTGTATATACAGTACATACCAAATAATCCTCATCATGCTTCCACTCGCTCTACTCTGCTATAGATGCCAAATAATCTTCCAGGGATGCCACTCGACACCCTCCTTGTTGATTACATAGGTGTCGTGTTTGGGCTTCAATGGATGCAACTGCAACAAGAACTTCCTGACTGTGAGAGCCGTTCAGTAGTGGAACTCTCTGCCCCGGAGTGTGGTGGAGGCTCCTTCTTTGGAAGCTTTTAAACAGAGGCTGGATGGCCATCTGTCAGGGGTGCTTTGAATGCAATATTCCTGCTTCTTGGCAGGGGGTTGGACTAGATGGCCCATGAGGTCTCTTCCAACTCTTTGATTCTATGATTCTAAGGCTCTTGCAGGGAACCCAATGACAATGACATGAGGACAAAGAGATGGGTTAATGGGGCCAAAATCTTGGCCCAGCATGGCTCCAGATGGTGTAGATACATGTTGACATCCTCTTGCTGGATCCCGATCAGCTCCAGGGCACAATTGTCCTGTTTGAACCCTCCAGGCTAGTTGCTTCCCGCACTGAGGTGCAGAAAATCTCAAATGATTGCAGTTTCTTCATCGTCTGCTTTACAGTTATATCAGTCACCTGTGGCCATGATTTGTATTTTGCTCAGTTGTAAATTGCACTTCCTTTGTGATGCTCAGAGCAAAAACCGTGGGCGGCCCCTCCTTCGTGCCCCGTAGCCACGAAACTGCTCTTTCGCCATGCCATTCGCTATGGTAACCTTGAGCCAGCACTCTTGGGTGAATGTTTACCTATTACTAGGAGAGAGCAAAGGCGCACTCGGAAAATAGTTGCCGTGCATGTCGGAGCATGTGCTGTTTTTCTAATGCTGTTATCTCAAGCAGCCTCTGGGAAATGGAAAGCGTTGGGGGGGGGGGGGAGGTCCCAGGTGGATTCTCTGTAATCCATCACTAGGGTGGGGTCTATCGTCACAACTCCTTTCACCTTAATTAATCACACCTGGCTTCTTCGTGGCATTCATCACAGCTATGGTCCTGGGATCATCCGGGGCAGCCAACTCTGAATTAATTTAATGTATATTCTTATAAATGTGTATTAAAATGCATTTTATAACCAAAAAAAGTAACAACTCATCTGCTTGGCTTATGCATAACACCCCAGGCAGTGTGGCTGAGTGGTTAGAATACCACACAAGTATCAGGTTGAGTTGCCAGGTATCCTTTATGATATAAGATGCCACCTATTTAAGAGTCCTATATACAGCTGACTTTGTGTTGCTGTGGTGTCTTCAGAGCAACTCTGAGTTAAGGCTTCCCCATTACAAGCATTCCTTTGCATTTCCTCAGGGTTGCTATAGATCCAGCAGCACCCTGGAAGTTAAACAGTATCAGAGTCTGGAAAGCCAGGCTGCAGGCCCTCTCCAGTTATTTGGTTTATTTATTTATTTTATTTATTTATATTTATTTAGAGCTTTTATAACCTGGTCTTCTCAACCTCCCAAGAGGGACTTAGGCCGGCTAACAGCTGAAAATTCAACACAAATATAGTAAACATAATAGCAACATAATACATTAATACAAAATACATTAAAATACAGATCATACAATATCATACAATTACAAAAGCCAGGTCGTCTGAATAAAATCACAAATTCATCACCATCCGCCGATGTGGTCAGCCGTTATTGACTCGATCATCATTCTGCAAATGCTATATTCCAAAGCCAGGTTTTTATCAGCTTTCTGAATGTCAGGAGGGAAGAGACAGATCTAATCTCCAATGGGAGAGAGTTCCAGAGCCGAGGGGCAACCACCGAGAAGGCCCTGTCCTTCATCCCCACCAAACGCAATTGCGAAGGTGGTGGGACCGAGAGCAGGGCCCCTCCAGAAGATCTTAACAACCTTGATGGTTCATAGGGGAGAATCCGTTCGGACAGGTAAACTGGGCCGGAGTCATTTAGGGATTTATAGGTCAACACCAGCACTTTGAATTGTGCTCGGAAGCTAATTGGCAACCAGTGGAGCTGATGCAGCAGAGGAGTAGTATACTCCCTGTACCCTGCTCCTGTTAGTAATCTGGCTGCCGCTCGTTGGACTAGTTGAAGCTTCCGGGCAATCTTCAGTGGCAACCCCACAAAGAGAGCGTTGCAGTAGTCTATACGGGGTGTAACCAGAGCGTGGACTACCGTGGCCAAAATATCTCTTCGGGTTTGGAGTCCGCCTTTTTTCCTGGGGATGAGATCTCCATTTTGGAATCTTCCTGCCTCCTTTAGTAGAGAAAAGAACCTCAGATGTGCTGTTGGTCAGGCAGGGAGCTCTGAAAAACCCATTGTGAGTGCAATTGAGTACAATTGAGATAGATAGAATAGCAATTGAGAGACTGAGACAGATAGATGATAGATAGATAGATAGATAGATAGATAGATAGATAGATAGAATAGGAATTGAGCAATTGAGTTATTAAGAAAAGCAATCGAGTTATAGATAGATATTGAATTATTGAGAAATAGAGAGAAATAGTTATTGAATACCATTGAGCATTACTTCATCTCCAAAACTGACCTTGTGCTTAGATAGTGGAAGACCTGTTCTTTCTAACCATAGCAGTTCAGGGTTAGGGTGAAATATCTCAGGATTTTTTCTACCATTTGGAGAAAGGTTACCTCAGAAATTGAAGAAAAAGGGAAAGAAAGAACATCTCTATGGTTTCTCAAATTGACTGTGTTGTAACTTTATCAAGCTGTGCTAAGTCTGCCAAGGACTTTGGAAATAAACATTTTGTTGATGTTCATATCTTGACTGGCATCAGTTACTGAAAGTATTGAGTTATTGCTTGAAAGAAAGACCCCCAGCAGTTCGCCCAGATAAAGAGAGAAGCACATCTTAGTTTTAACTTCACAGTGTCTGGGTGTGATGGTACAGAAAGTATAACTTCACTTACCCAATGTCTTCCAGTGAGTTTCTATGACTGAATAGGGATTAAGACCCCTTCCACACAGCTGAATAAAATCCCACATCTGCTTTGAACTGAGATATATTGCAATGTGAACTCAGATAACCCAGGGCACTTCCAGACAGCACTAAATCAGGGGTTTTAAACAGGGGCAAAAATCCCAGGATTTCAGAAGAGGTCCACATACAACCCTGGGATTTTTGTCCAGACTTGATGCTTTGTTATGAGATTCAGAGGCGCCCAAGATGCCCGCCATGACACTTCCACCAGAAAGATGTGGATATTTGGATTTATTTATTTATTTATTTACTATATTTGTATACTGCCCTTCTCAGCCCTCAGGCGACTCAGGGCAGTTTACAGAGGCAACGATTCAATGCCCAAGAACATCATAAAACATTTAAAACATTAATACATAGTATAAAACCAAACAAAAGTAATAAAAACATATGGATATGCAGATATGTGGAGGATCACTGCAGGAAATCCCTGCAAAAGTTCCATTCTTTGTCCTGACCAGAGAAACTGTGCTCTCCACACGTTTCATGAAGTTTTGGGCACACAAACAAAGTTTTTGCCTTCTACTCAAGTGTCACCTTCTTTTTAGGAACCGACCAATCAGGAACAAACTTCTAAAACCTGGGAACACACCCAGATAAAATATCTTGTGATTGTAGTGACCTACTGTGCTGTCACACGCTGGGCCTGTAGCAATGGTCTATTAACAGGACGTGATCTTTATGTGCCCAGCGGGATGCCGGGGTACCTCAGCTGAGAGGCCCTATGAATTTCCCTATACAAAGTCTTTAGAAGCTTGGAAAATTCTTTATTGGTGCAACAAATCAGTCAAATACTTCTTAGATCTTCAACAAATCAACCAAATATTTCTTAACTTGTCCACAATGGACAGGCAACTAGCTTCATGAACTGTTTCTTTCTTCTATGAGGGAAATCCTTCAGACCCCTCCCTTGGCAATCTGTCTTTTAGGCTTAGCTGGCGTGGGGCCCTACTCCCGGTTCCAATTTGCTTAATGGGTACCCGAGTAGACCCTAAGCTAAAACTCTGAAGATTTTCCAGCTGGAATCCTTTGGATTTTTTCCACGAATTCTGTGGATCTGTTTCTTTAACCCCAACAAGGGCTGTGCTGTATTTCTTAGTAAAGCTGTGAGAATTGTCTTCCCCAGCCAAGCTTGTAAGAGACGAAGCTTTTCTACAGGAGGGAAAAACTGACACGTCCTGTAGTTGGGCTTCAAACTGTAAGACTGAACAAACTGTCCCCCTTTCCCTCCTGAACCTGGGGGAAAGGGCGGTTCCAAAAGCCCCAACGATGATAGGCAGGCTGCTAGCCTATGACTGCAGCCTTGGGAAAGCTGCTTAACTGCAAAATGCCTGGCTAACAGAAACACGTGCAAACTAACCATGCATAGAAAAAGAAAATTTAGCTTCTGGCACAGCTGTGCCAGCACACGTACAGACATGCGAATATCAAAACCGTGATATTCCCGCACCTGGAAATTTCTCTCTTTTTTTCCCTTTTGTAGCAATTACTTCTGTGTTTACAGGGAATGGTATCTGTCCACCCTCCTGTTTGCTGCAGAAGCTCCTTGGATAAAGACACTGTCTGGATGGGCCCCCAGTTTAAAGCAGATATTATGGGATTTTCTGCCTTGATATTCTGGGTTATATGGCTGTGTGGATGGGCCCTAAGACAAAGGTCTCCAGAGTCCTAGGATGCATCTGCATTGTAAAATTAATGCAGTCCAACATGATTTTAACTGCCACAGCTCATGAGGGTCCCTTAGCTGCCTTTCCCAATGTTCCTGGTAACCAAGAGATCTTTTGCTTGTGCAATAGGCATTTCCTTGTCTGAGTCTTTGCTATAAAACCTGTTGCTTAATATGACATTATTGGATCTCTTCTTCTGGGAAAGATAAGCTGGGGGAATTTTGGAAGAGTTGTTGGGGCACGTCAAGTATGTTCCCGGAATACCAAATAAGCATTCAAATTGTGAGAGGGTGGAAGGGAATGTGCATCCTTTTCTCTGCTGTGTAACATCTATGGCATTTATTAATCTATACGTTTTTATAGGTAAATATCAAAGGATTTATACATGTTGGTATGTTTGTTGGTTTGTACCACAAAGGCTTCTGTTTAGCTTGATGGATCTGGACCAAATTTGCCATACATACCCTTCATTGTCAAACTTAAAATAATTATGGGAATTCAACTTCAAAATCCATCTTCAAATAAATAGAAAGGATTAGCTACTGGTCTCCAGTTATGTATGTATTGCTCAGATGCAACCACAAGAGGGCATTGTATAATTTGAAAAGATTAATACTACTGGTTTTGGAAAAAGGAAATCTCCAGAACCTTTTGGAGATGTTATGATCTTTGGAAAGGCATGACCTTCTTAGAGGTCACAACCTTTTGAAAAATGATACCATGACCTCTTGGTAAAAAGCATGACCTGTTAAGAGTCATAACTTTTTGGGGGAAATTGAATTCACCAGAATTCTTATATATATGCTGGAGAGAGGAGATTCCATCTGAACATGAGGAAGAACTTCCTGACTGTGAGAGCCGTTCAGCAGTGGAACTCTCTGCCCCGGAGTGTGGTGGAGGCTCCTTCTTTGGAAGCTTTTAAACAGAGGCTGGATGGCCATCTGTCAGGGGTGATTTGAATGCAATATTCCTGCTTCTTGGCAGGGGGTTGGACTGGATGGCCCATGAGGTCTCTTCCAACTCTTTGATTCTATGATTCTAATATATATGTTAGAATATATATATATACACACACACACACACAGACATACAGCAGAGTTTCAGAAGTGTTCTTTTTAGTTGACCAAAAACATCTACTCTCCCTTAAAATATATTTACCTTTAAATCATGCTTTCAAGAGACAAAAATAAGCAGACTTCTTTAAAAGTAACATAGTTGGTTTACTCAGAAACTTCATGTATTCATCATACTGGTATTTTGCATATCAATTCAGTTATAAATAGGATTTGAAGTAGTTTCTCTGTGTTGGTAACATCGTGCATCTTTCTGAGAATCAATAGTCCCAAGTCCGAAGCATCTCCCTGTTCTGAGAGTCTAATAGAGTCTCTGTCTAGTCTGAAAGTCTAAAACAGTTTCTAAAATGGAGTCTGAGCCCTGAACAAGCCCAGTTCTGAACACATGGTCTATAGCCCCTCCCACTACAAAGAGTTAAGGTAGAATTGCAGGCTGATATACACATATACAATACAGTATGCAATTACCAGATACATCCTATCTCTGTTCATGCCCAGCATTTATTTTTTAAATTTTAAACTATTACATTTGGCCTGGCCATAGCTTTTTTAAATCCCTGCGTGTTATTGTTTATATGTGAGTTATATTAATTGTGTTCTGTTGCGCGCTGGGCCTGTAAAGAATTTCCTTTGGAACAAGACGTGCAACCTTTGTCCAGCAGGAAGCCAGGGGGCCCAAGGCGAAGTTCTCAGAGGTTTTCCACCACAAATAACCTTTAGATGGCTTGTGAAGTATAACAAAGTCTTTTATTAATGAACAATCTTTACAGGCCCAGCGTGCGACAGGACACAATTAATATAACTCACATATAAAAAATAAGTGAGGTATAACAAAGTCTTTTATTAATGAACAATCAAACAGAAACTTCTCTTGTCTTCAATAAAGCTAAACAAATGCTTCCAGGCTTTATGCAACTTCCTAAACTTGCCCACGAAGGACAGGCAACTGTCTTCAATAACTTCTTCTTTACTTTAAAGGAAAACCCCCTTTTTAACTTCTCCCAGGCTGACTGTAATCTAACCCTTACTGATGCGGGCTCCGCTACCGGGTTGAACTGCGTCTCAAAGCACCGAGTGGACCTACCAGTGAAGGTTTAGATATTCTCCAGCTGGAGTTCTTTGGTCTTTAGGGCTGTTTTCCTGGAAATCTTTGGAGACTCTTAAGACTGTTTCCCCCCGGAAAGTCTTAAGGGTTGAAGCTTTTGTACAGGGGAAGCTTACACATCTGGAATATTGTGTCCAATTCTGGGCACCACAATTCAAGAGAGATATTGACAAGCTGGAATGTGTCCAGCGGAGAGCGACTAAAATGATAAAAGGTCTGGAGAACAAGCCCTATGAGGAGCGGCTTAAGGAGCTGGGCATGTTTAGCCTGAAGAAGAGAAGGCTGAGAGGAGATATGATAGCCATGTATAAATATGTGAGAGGAACAGGGAGGAGGGAGCAAGCTTGTTTTCTGCTTCCCTGGAGACTAGGACACATAACAATGGCTTCAAACTACAAGAGAGGAGATTCCATCTGAACATGAGGAAGAACTTCCTGACTGTGAGAGCCGTTCAGCAGTGGAACTCTCTGCCCCGGAGTGTGGTGGAGACTCCTTCTTTGGAAGCTTTTAAACAAAGGCTGGATGGCCATCTGTCAGGGGTGATTTGAATGCAATATTCCTGCTTCTTGGCAGGGGGTTGGACTGGATGGCCCATGAGGTCTCTTCCAACTCTTTGATTCTATGATTCTAAGAACTTCCTGTACATAACTTTCCTTGCTGAGACTAACTAAAAAATGGCTCCCTTCCCTTCCCAATTGCCCTGAGCAAGGGGCGGAACCAAACTTAATGATGATGGACAGGTAACTTGCCCTATGACTGCAGCCAAAGGAAGCCACCTTTCTGCAGAGTCCCGGAAACCTTGGACTGCAAGCAAACATTTAATATAAAGCAAATAAAATTAGAGCTCCTGGTACAGCTATACCAGAATAAATTGTATTGTTTTTGCTTATTGTATTTTGTTTTATTGGTGTGTTTTCAGGCTTGGCCTCATGTAAGCTGCTCTGAGTCCCCTTGGGGAGATGGTGGCGGGGTATAAATAAAGTATTATTATTATTATTATTATTATTATTATTATTATTATTAACTAGTGAAGGTTGATATTTCCAACAACTGGAGACATAATGGTATGTATCCACACAAAGGAAATACATATCAAGGCAATGCTGCTTATTTGTGCTCATCACTAATATATCTCTTCTTTGACAGCAGTCCCTAGCTCTAGTTTCAGCATCATGCAAATATCATGCATTGCTTTGTTCCTTTCTTAACCCCATGCCTCTTCCATTGTAGAACACAAAGACCCGGACCGGATTTGCCACAGACTTGCACTACTGGATTGGGCGCGACTCCTCCCAGGATGAGCAAGGAGCTGCCGCTTTCTATGTGACGCAGCTGGACGATCTACTTGGAGGGAACCCGGTGCAGCACCGAGAAGTGCAAGGCCATGAGTCAGCAGCCTTTAAAAGCTATTTCAAGAAAGGCATCATGTGAGTAACGGGGAGGCACACGCCTGCAAGGGAGCCCAGCCCATTTCAGTGGCACTCCTTCAAAAGGACTACGAGTGACTTTGAAATGGTTTCCTGTTGTTCAGACCTCTTTCACAGACCTCTAAAATGCAGTGGGCTGTTAGCAATTGTGGGAATTGAAGTCCAAAACATCTGGAGGACCCAAGTTTGCCCATGCCTGGTGTATATGGTCGACAGCTTTTCTTAGCGTAGACCACAACTCATTTGTTGCAAGTGCTGTTGGTACTGCTCTTCCTAAATTCAGCTTTGCAGGTGACTATGGGTCTATCTACACCAGTGGTTCTCAACCTTCCTAATGCCGTGACCCCTTGACACAGTTCTTCATGTTGTGGTGACCCCCAACAAGCAAATTATTTTCATGACAACTTCACAACTGTAACTTTGCTACTGTTATGAATCGTAATGTCAGGATGTATTTTCATTCATTGGACCACATTTGGCACAAATACCTGATACGCCCAAATTTGAATATTGCCAGAGTGGTGGTTGGTTTTTGTCATTTGGGAGTTGTACTTGCTGGGATTTATAGTTCATCTACAATCAAAGAGCATTCTGAACTCCACCAACAATGGAATTGAATCAAACCTGGCACACAGAACTCCCATGACCAACAGAAAATACTGGGAAGGTCTGGTGGACATTGACCTTGAATTTTTTTGGAGTTGTAATTCACCTACATCCGGAGAACACTGTGGACTCAAGCAATGATGGATCTGGATCAAACTTGGCACAAATACTCAATATGCCCAAATGAGAACACTGGTAGAGTTTGGAGAAAATAGACCTTGCCATTTGGGAGTTGGGATTGTTGGGATTTATAGTTCACCCACAATGAAATAGCATTCTGAACCCCACCAATGATAGAATTGGACCAAACTTTCCACACAGAATCCCCATGATCAACAGAAAATACTATGTTTTCTGATGGACTTTGGCAACCCCTCTGACACCCCCTTGCGACCCCCACAGGGGTCCCGACCCCAGGTTGAGAAACACTGCTCTAAAATACAGCCCACTTATTCCATAAGCTTACTGAATATGGTTTCATTGGTATTAAAAAAAACTTTGAATACTTCCTAAGTTTAGCTTTGCAGATGACTAGGGGTCTATCTACACTACTGTTTCTTAACTTTCCAGATGCGGCGACCCCTTCATACAGTTCCTCATGTTGTGTTGACCCCCAACCATAACATTATTTTTGTTGCTACTTCATAACTATAATTTTGCTACTGTTATGAATCATAATGTCAATATCTGATATTCAGGATGTATTTTTATTCATTGGACCACATTTGGCACAAATACCTGATACGCCCAAATTTGAATATTGCCAGAATGGTGGTTTGATTTTATCATTTGGGAGTTGTAGTTGCTGGGATTTATAGTTCACCTACAATCAAAGAGCATTCTGAACTCCACCAACAATGAAATTGAATCAAACTTGGCACACAGAACTCCCACGACCAACAGAAAATACTGGAAGGGTTTGGTGGCCATTGACCTTGAGTTTTGGAGCTGTAGTTCACCTGTATCCAGATAGCACTGTGGACTCAAGCAATTATGCATCTGGACTAAACTTGGCACAAATACTCAATATGTCTAAATGTGAGCAGAGGTGGAGTTTGGGGAAAATACACCTTGGCATTTGGGAGTTGTAGTTGCTGGGATTTATAGTTCACCTACAATCAAAGAGCATTCTGAACCCACCAATGATAGAATTGGGCCAAAATTTCCACACACAACCCCCATGAGCAACAGCAAAATACTGTGTTTTCTGATGGTCTTTGGTGACCCCCCGACACTCCTTGTGATACCCTCCAGGGGTCCCGACCCCTAGGTTGAGAAATGCTGATTTACACTGTTCAATTAATGCAGTTTGACACCACTTTCACTGCCATGACCCAATGCTGTGGAAGCTGAAGTTTGGCAAGACACCAGCATTCTTTGGAAGTGGCCGCTAAAGACTTTGATTCCATAGTATTGAACCATAGTATTGTGCCATGGGAGTTAAAGTGATGCCAAACTGCACTAATTCTATAGTGTAGATGCATATTATGAGAGTAACAGTAAGAAACAGTTTGGGTCTACTCTGCCTCATTGGATAAGAAGAGGAAGCATTTGGTATGGAAAGCTATTTTGCTGTTTCCCCCATGCTCATGGTTTGGTTGTTGAGGGCATGAATGGCACCTGCTGTCATGCAATAAATATATATAGGATTTTGTGGCATCTTGAATGGACCCAATAAATGATTGGACTTTGTTGTTGTTGTGTGTCTTCAAGTTGTTTCCAACTTATAGCAACCCTAAAATGAAGCTATTTGGGGCTAAAAGTGTGTAATGTGCCCAAAGTCACCCAATGGGTTTCCACAGCTGAGAAGATAATCGAGCTCTAGTCTCCAGAGTCATAATCCAAAGCCCAAACGACTACACCATTTGGGTTGACCTTCAATCCACCATATACATGATATCTCATCCAAAGTGGAGCTCCATGAACCTATAAGTAACTATATAGTCCTTGAGACCACTGAGAATTTTGAGAATGCCAAAACTGGCACACACATAGACAACTAGTTGGAGGTCTACTGTGCCAGATAGGGGCTTATTTATTTATCGTGTCATCCGCAACCAGAACATTGTAATACATTTCTTACAGAACAAAACAAGCAAACAGATTAAATAAATAAATAAATAAAATAACACTTCCTATTATTTGCCCTTTTTATTTTCCAACAGTTACAAGAAAGGAGGAGTTGCTTCAGGGTTCAAGCATGTGGAGACCAACATGTACAACGTCAAACGCCTCCTCCACGTCAAAGGGAAGAAGCACGTGACGGCTACAGAGGTAAAGAGAGCGAAAACACTTCTTCTGGGTTGCTGTGAGTTTTCCAGGCTGTATGGCCATGTTCCAGAAGCATTCTCTCCTGACATTTCACCCAATATCTATGACAGGCATGCTCAGAGGTTATGAGGTATGTGGGGAAAACATCAAGAGAGAATGCTACTGTATTGTGGCCCAGAAAACTCACAACAACCCAGTGATTCTGGCCATGAAAGCCTTCGACATCACTTCTGTTTATTGATTTGTAACTAAAGATTACCTAGAGACTGGAACTCAGCACATTTTTTGTTATGTCTCTTCAAGTTAACTGAGACTTATGCTTGAAGGGCTTGATAGAAACAATTTGGGGGATTTGCCCACCACCTTTTCAGAAAAGAAGTGAATTACAGTGACAAATGCAAGATACTCCACTTAGGCAGAAAAAATGAAATGCAAAGATACAGAATGGGGGACAATGATGCCTGGCTCGAGAGCAGTACGTGTGAAAAATATCTTGGAGTCCTCGTGGGGAGGAAGGTGAACATGAGCCAACAATGTGATGCAGTGGCAAAAAAAAGCCAATGGGATTTTGGCCTGCATCCATAGGAGTCTAGGGCCTAGATCCAGGGAAGTCATTTGTCCTTGAGACAGACATAAAACAGGCCATCCCCAGATTACAAACAAGATAGGTTCTGTAGGTTTATTCTTAAGTTGAATTTGTATGCAAGTCAGAGCAGGTACATTTTTAGTGTAACTCCAGCCAATGCCTTCCCTATGGATGGCATAAGGAAAGGTTAACATCCCTGTGTGGTATTCTTTCCTGTCTGTGCCCCAGTTCAGAAAAGTTCGCCTCACTTTCCCTCCCTGTGAACACTGGATTTTGCAAAACTTTGGCTTGTTGGAGAAACAAGGATTGGTGATAAAGCTTCAGTTGAGTCCTCTTTCACCCTATGCCCATGATAACTCTTTCAGGAGTGAATTTCCCTTCTGAGGGGTAGATTTAATAATCTATATAGATAAAAATGTAATGTTCGCTTGTGGGATTAACAGAACTCAAAAACCTCTGGATGAATTGACACCAAATTTGGACACAAGACACCTAACAACCCAGTGTATGTCCTTCACTCAAAAAAAATGATTTTATCATTTGGGAGTTGTAGTTGCTGGGATTTATAGTTCACCTGAACCCCACCAATGATGGAATTGAACCAAACTCGGCACACAGTTCTCCCATGACCAACAGAAAATACTGGAAGGGTTTGGTGGGCAGTGTCCTAAGGTTTTGGAGTTGTAGTTCACCTACATCCAGAGATCACTGTGGACTCAAACAATGATGGATCTGGACCAAACTCTACACAAATACTCAATATGCCCAAAAGGGAACACTGGTAGAGTTTGGGGAAAATAGAATCTTGACATTTGGGAGTTGTAGTTGCTGGGATTTATAGTTCACCTACAATCACAGAGCATTCTGAACCCCAGCAATGATAGAATTGCACCAAACCTCCCACACACAACCTCCATGTGGGCCACAGCAACACGTGGCAGGGAACGGCTAGTAATAATAATAATAATAATAATAATAATAATAATAATAATAATAACAACAATAATACCATTATACCCCGCCACCATCTCCCCGAAGGGGACTCGGGGTGGCTAACATGAAGCCAGGCCCAAACATACAATGCAGAAAAATTACATCCAAACAAAATACATAAAGTAACAAAATAAAATAAACAGTGCAAAATAAAATAACAAAAGTCGAACACAGAGGGTGGGCCTAATGCACAAAATAAAATGATAAAACCCTGAATGAGATAGGAGTAGAAAAAGTGTATTTGTGAGGGAGGAGCCAAGAAGATTTCTCTCACCGGAGCCCCCGGTAGCGTGGTGGGTTAAACCCCTGTGCCGGCAGGACTGAAGACTGACAGGTTGCAGGTTCGGATCCGGGGAGAGGCGGATGAGCTCCCTTTATCAGCTCCAGCTCCTCATGCAGGGACATGAGAGAAGCCTCCCACAAGGATGATAAAAACATCAAATCATCCAGGCGTCCCCTGGGCAACGTCCTTGCAGACAGCCAATTCTCTCACACCAGAAGCGACTTGCAGTTTCTCAAGTTGCTCCTGACACGACAAAAAACAAAACAAAAACCCTGTTTGTAACTACGAATCATTTGTTTGTAACTCGGGGACTGACTGTCCATGTTCTTCCATGACTTTCACTGCTGTTTTACCTCCAAACAGGTAGACCTTTCCTGGAACAGTTTCAATCAAGGTGACGTCTTCCTATTAGATCTTGGGAAAGTGATCATCCAGTGGAACGGGCCCTCATGCAATGTGGCTGAGAAATCTAGGGTGAGTATGAACCACGGTCTGTAGCCACAAATTGTGTGTCTGGGTTGCTGTGAGTTTTCTGGGCTGTATGGATTGACAATGTCCTGGAATATGACCATATAGCCCGAAAAACTCACAGAAACCTAGTCATCCCGGCCATGAAAGCCTTCGACAATTAATCGTGTGTCCATTGCTGCCAGCATCCATGGCTTGAAAATATTCAAGCAAAAAAGATGCTATAGTGCTTGCACAAAAACAACCCCCCGCCCCCCGGCAAACAAAACACACAATAGCATATCCACACTCTCTTTTCGACTACAGCTCCCAGCATCCCCTAGACCAGGCCCTTTAGGAGAGGAGGAGGATCCAAATGCACTTCTTCCAAGCTGCAAACTTTCTTCTCCTTGGATTTCTTGGAGAGCATCCCAATCCCTGCATATTTCCAATTTCCTATTCCTGGACTGCAACTCCCAGCAATTCTCCAGATAGATAGATTAGATGGAGATAGATAGGTAGATGAAGTACTTTGGCGGGGGGGCTTGAGGGGCTTCAGCCCCCCCCCCCCGAAATTCTCAGGGTGGTCCGCGAGAAGGCCTTACTGGTACATTATTTAAACTGTTATGTTTATTCATATCATGATCTGATCACCATGCTCAATATATCCCATATGCATGGGGGTATTGGGATAACAATACAAAAGGTTTGCTAGGGTAGACCCTCAGACGCCCCCCTTGAATCAAACTCGCCCCCCCCCCCCCAATCAATCTCAGCACCCCTCGAATCAAAATCCTGGCTATGGGCCTGGGTAGGTAGGTAGGTAGATCAATCAGGAGGACTGTTGGGAGCTGCAGTCCAAGAATAGGTAGAGAAAGAAGAAAGGGGAGAAAGGGGAAGGGAAAGAAAAGGAAGGAAGGAAGGAAGGAAGGAAGGTGTGCTGTCACACGCTGGGTCTATAGCAGTTGGCTTTTGAACAGGACATGCTCTTTGTGCCCAGCAGGAAGCCGGGGGGCCTCAAGTGAGAGGCCCTAAAGATTTTCCTATACAGAGTCTTTAGAAGCTTGAAAGGTTTAACAAAGTCCTTTATTATTGCATAAGTCTTCAACAAACAATCAAATACCTCTTAGATCTTCAACCAATTAAACAAATGCTTCAAGGCTTTGAATCAACTGATGGCTTTCTTAATCTTGTCCACAAGGGACAGGCAACTGGCTTTGTGAACTGTTTCTTTTCTTTAAGAGGAAAACCCTTTTTAACCCCTCCTTGGGCAATCTACTTTCTAAACTTTGCTGGTGTGGGCTCTACTCCCGGCTCCAAACTGCTTCTTGGGTCCCGAGTAGACCTACCAGTCAAGGCTTTGTAGATTCTCCAGCTGGAGTCCTTTGGAACTGTTTTCCCCGGAATTTCCCCCGGATGCTGTGAGAAACGAAGCTTCTCTACAGGTGGAGCTAATCCACGTCCTGTAGCTAAGCTTTCCAATGCAAGACAGACCTAAAATGGCTCCCTCTCCTCCCAGAGCCCTGGGGAAAGGGGCGGAATAAAAACTTAACAATGATTGATGGGTGATTGGCCCTATAATTGCAAACCAAGAGAAGCCATCTTATTGCAAAATGCATGGAACCTTAGAATGCATGCAAACACTCAATAGAAAGAAATGAAGTTGGAGCTCCTGGTACAGCCGTACCAGCACAGAAGGAGAGAAGGAAAGAAAAAAGGTGGAGGAAGGAAGGCAAGAGGGAGGGAGGAAAGGAGAGAAAGAAAGAAGGAGAGAAAGAGGAAGGTTGGCCATAGCAATGTGTGGTGGGTACAGCTAGTACAATGATAAAAATAGAGATCCCAGATGGAATTCAAGCCATATCGGAAGTTCTCTGCACTAAAAGCTTCCGTAGGAATTACTGCAGAAATCATTGGACTTGCTTTAGCCCAGCCATCAGACTCAACACTGGGCAAGTTCAGTGGTTTCATATTTTCACACTTCCTTTTTTCCCCAGGGAATGGTCTTGGCACGGAGCATCCGCGATGGAGAAAGAGGTGGCCGTGCCCAGATTGGCATCGTGGATGATGAGAAGGACTCTCCGGACCTCATGCAGATCATGAAAGCAGCCTTGGGGGAGAGGCAGGGAGAGCTGAGGCCGGCCCTTCCCGACGAGAAGGCCGACGAACTCCAGAAAGCCAACGTCCGCCTTTACCAGTATGTCTCTAAGTGGCAGGCCTTGAAACCCTTTCTTCCTCTCTTACGCCCACAGTACTGTCACAATCTCTTATATTCAGGACTTCAAACTTAAAAGACAACTCTCTTAGCACCAGAACTCCCAAGCTGTTATTGCAAATAGGTATATTGATGACCAAGAGCGATGCCACATCAACTGCCATGGCTCAAGGCTACAGAATCCTGAGAATTGTAGTTTTATTATTGTTTGTTTACAGCATTTATATTCCACTCTTCTCACCCTGCAGTGGACTCAGGGCGGATTACAATGCACATATACATGGCAAACATTCAATGCCATTAGACATACAACATATATAGACAGACACAGAGGCAATTTAACATTCCAGCTTTCCGGCTTCATGAGGGTATGCTCAATTCCGGCCACAGGGGGAGCGTAGCTTCACCGTCCCCTTGTGACACCGAGTCCTTTGATGGAGTACTTCTCATTCTTTTGCATGCTGCTGGAGATTTTTATGGTGTCGTAAATTATTTAACTTAGCTTCCCTGTATAAAGCAGTACCTAAATTTCTTATTTGACAGATGCAACTGTCTTTCGGGCTTCATAGGTCAACAGCAAGCTAGACTATTAATGGTCGGGAGCCCACTTGAACCCAAGCTGGCTTCAAACTCATGACCTCTCAGTCAGTAGTGATTTAATGCAGCTGGCTACTAACTAGCTACGCTACAAGGTCTTCCACCTTCTCTGCCAAAGAGTCCTGGTGGCTTACCAAACTATAATTCTCATGGGTTGTTATAGGTATTTTTCGGGCTATATGGCCATGGTCTAGAGGCATTCTCTCCTGACATTTCGCCTGCATCTATGGCAAGCATCCTCAGAGGTAGTGAGGTCTGTTGGAACTAGGAAAAGGTGTTTATATATCTGTGGAATGACCAGGGTGGGACAAAGGACTCTTGTCTGCTGGAGCTAGTGTGAATGTTTCAACTGAACACCTTGGTTAGCATATAATTGCCTGACAGTGCCTGGAGCAATTCTCGTGATTCCATAGCATTGACCCATTGCAGTTAAAGTGGTGTCAAACTGTATTACATCTACAGTGTGGATGCATCCTTAGAATTTAGACTTTGGAATTAACACTTTCCATTTCTTCTCCTGCAGTGTTTATGAGAATGGCAAGGACTTAGTGGTTCAAGAGATTGCTACACGTCCCCTTACTCAAGACTTGCTGAGACATGAGGTAAGAAGAGATTCATTCACTTGTATCACGTTTAAATCCTCCTAAACTTGGAAGAGACCATAAAGGGCACTCAGTCCAACCCAATTCCGTCATGCGGAAACACACTATCCAAGCCCTCCTGACAGATACCATCCAGATTCTTTTGAAAAGTCTCCAAGGAAGGGAACTCACACCACATAATGAGTGTGTTCTGATTGAAGGAAGCTCAGAGTTACAGGCTTGAATTCTTTGCAGCTTTTGTTTAAAGCACCTTCTTTTCCTCGACAGGACTGCCACATTTTAGACCAGGGCGGTTTTAAGATTTATGTCTGGCGAGGAAATGATTCCAGCAAGGAAGAAAAGAAAGCCGCCTTCAGCCGCGCCGTGGTGAGTTTGTATATGCAGAAACGCACTGTATTCCTCCCAAAAAGGACGGAAGAGAGAAAGAGAGAATTTACTTACTTATGCAATCCCTCGTAGCCCGAGGATGATGGTCCTCCAAGTGTAGTGTCTCGGTGGTGGATCCGTAGAGCCCTATTCTTGATCCGCATGTTCTCCCACAGTTAGGACATTGGTTTCCAGGTGGAAGTCGGTCACGGTCAGAGTTAGCCTTCCTCTTGAAACATTTCTCCCTTTCGCCCTCCATTCATGCTTCTTCGACTTCTGCAGCACTGCTGGTCACAGCTGATCTCCAGTTAGAGCACTCAAGGCACAGGGCTTCCCAGTACTTTGTGTCTATGCCACAGTTTTTAATGTTGGCTTGAAGCCCAACTTTAAATCTCATTCCTGTCCATCAAGATTATATTTCCCGTTCTTCAGTTAGGAGTATAGTAACTGCTTTGGGAGACGGTGATCGGGCATTCGGACAATGTGGCCCATTCAACGAAGTGGATGGCGTAGGGTCATCGCTTCATTGCTGGTGGTCTTTGCTTCTTCCAGCACGCTGACATTTGTTCGTCTGTCTTGCCAAGAGATTTGCAAGATTTTTTGGAGGCAGCACTAATGGAATTGTTCCAGGAGCTGAGTGTGATGTCTGTAGGCAGTCCACGTTTTGTAGGCTTATAGAGGGTTGGGAGGACCATAGCTTTATAAACAAGCACCTTGGTATCCCTACGGATGTCCCGGTCCTCAAACACTCTCTGCTTCATTCTGAAAAATGCTGCACTCACTGAGCTCTTGGGACACAGAACTCCCATGACCAACAGAAAATACTGGAAGGGTTTGGTGGGCATTGACCTTGAGTTTTGGAGTTGTAGTTCACCTGCATCCAGAGAGCACTGTGGACTCAAACAATGATGGATCTGGACCAAACTTGGCACAAATACTCAATATGCCCAAATGTGAACACTGATGGAGTTTGAGGGAAAGCTGTATTTTTGGCATTGGAGAGGGATTGGCTGGTGACTGCTGGAAGAGCACTTTGGTTTTCTCGATGTTCAATGAGAGGCTGAGCTTTTTGCATGCTTCTGCAAAGGTGTTTAGAGTGGCTTGTAGGTCTTCTTCTGAATGCGCACAGACTACGTTATCATCAGCATATTGGAATTCTATAACAGATGTTGTGGCGACCTTGGTTTTGGCTTTCAGTCTGTTGAGGTTAAATAGCTTGCCATCTGTTTGATAGATGATTTCCAATCTGGTGGGAAGCTTCCCATCACTAAGATGAGGTATCATAGCGATGAAGAAGGAATACAAATATTATATTTACATAAATATAAAAGGAATGTAAAAGGAGTAAATGTCTTGGCATGAGACGTAGAGAAAGAGTGGAAATGTATCCATGGAATTCTGAGTCCTGTGCCTAATGAAAGCTTGTACTATACAGTCATAGAAGAGTAAAATACATTCACAGTTTCATGCGTCAAGGAAGCAACCTTTGACCCTTTTAACCCAATGCAATAAAATGTAAAAAAAAACTCTTACTGTTTGTGATTTATTCTTCAGAAAAAGTGCAATTATTGCACAAAAGGAGCATGGTATGGAAGAGGAACTCATAACTAGTTTGTTGTATTGTTAAAGGCTTTCACTGGGCTGTTGTAGGTCTTTCAGGCTGTATGGCCATGTTCTAGAAGCATTCTCTCCTGACGTTTCACCTGCATCTATAGCAGGCATCCTCAAAGGTTGTGAGATGCAGGTGAAACATCAGGAGATAATGCTTCTAGAACATTGCCATACAGCCCAAAAAACCTACAACAACCTAACTAGTTCATATTGTTCTTGCGCACAGACTATGTTATCATCAGCATATTGGAGTTGTATACCAGAATTTTTATTATTCTCTACTAATGGCATTCCATTAGTCACCTGTTGACTGAGATAGGATCTGGTGGATGAAGGGTGTATAGCCTGATCCTTGTGTGGGCTCTTTCCAGGGTTTCATCCAAGCCAAAGGGTATCCTGCCAGTACGAACGTAGAAGTCATCAACGACAGAGCGGAATCCGCCATGTTCAAACAACTCTTCCAGAAGTGGACAGAAAAGGACGGGACACATGGGCTTGGCAAGGCATACAGTATCAACAAGATCGGTGAGACAAGAAAGGCCCAAATATTGGGTCCAAAACTATCATATCCATCCCTTTTGCTGCCAAGAAGGCCTTTCTCTTGATGTGCTATGTCAGTGTTTCTCAACCTTCCTAATGCTGCAACCCCTTGATACAGTTCCTCATGTTGTGGTGACCCCAACCATAAAATTATTTTCGTTGCTACTTCATAACTGTAATTTTGCTACTGTTATGAATCGTAATGTAAATATCTGATATGCAGGATGTATTTTCATTCACCGGACCAAATTTGGCACAAATACCCAATATGCCCAAATTTGAACACTGATGGAGTTGGAGAGGGGAATTGATTATGTCCTGTGGGAGTTGTAGTTACTGGGATTTATAGTTCACCTACAATCAAAGAGCATCCTGAACCCAACAATGATGAAATTGAACCAATCTTGGCACAGAGAACTCCCATGACCAACAGAAAATATTGGAAGGGTTTGGTGGGCATTGACCTTGAGTTTTGGAGTTGTAGTTCACCTACACCCAGAGAGCACTGTGGACTCAAACAATGATGGATCTGGACTAAACTTGGCACAAATACTCAATATGCCCAAATGTGAACACTGGTGGAGTTTGGGGAATATAGATCTTGACATTTGGGAGTTGTAGTTGATAGGATTTATAGTTCACCTACAATCAAAGAGCATTCTGAACTCCACCAATGATGGAATTGGGCCAAACTTCCCACACAGAACCCCCATGACCAACAGAAAATATTATGTTTTCTTATTGTCTTTGGAGATCCCTTTGACACCCCCTAGTGACCCCCGCAGGCGTTCCGACCCCGAGGTTGAGAAACACTGTGCTAAGACTAGCTGTTGCTATGAGAACTCTAATAGGGAGGAACAGTGCAGTTTATGGAGTCTCAACATGCCTTTGCACTGTACAATGAATGCAGTTTGGCACTATTTTAATTGCCATGGCTCAGTGTTTTGGAATGATGAAGATTATAGTTTTACAAGGCTTTTAGCCTTCTCGGCCAAAAAGTGCTGGTGCCTCACCAAACTACAAATCTCAGGGTCCCAAAGCATTGAGCCATGGAAATGACAGTGGTGATTTTCTATTGGCTTTCACTTCCACTAACTCTGCATTTTGGGAGTTATAGTTTGCCCACACCTAGAAAGCACTTTGAACGCAACCAACAATGAATCTGAACCAAACTAGGCACTCTTGGCAAAGTTGGCCATGATGGTCAACTTTGAATACTGGCAGGGTTTGGGAGGAACTGACCCTGGATTTTGGGAGTTATAGTTCACCCACACCAAGAGAGCACTCTGAACCCAACCGACAATGGATCTGAACCAACTAAGTACTCTTATCCATCATGGCCAACTTTGAATACTGACGGGGTTTGGGAGGAACTGACCCTGAATTTTGGGAGTTATAGTTCACCCATACCAAGAGAGCACTCTGAACCCAACTAACAATGGATCTGGACCAACTAAGTAATCTTACCCATCATGGCCAACTTTGAATACTGGCAGGGTTTCAGAGGAACTGACCCTGGATTTTGGGAGTTATAGTTTACCCACACCAAAAGAGCACTCAATGGATCTGGACTAAACTAGTAGGCACTCTTACCCGCCATGGTCTTGCCCAGCTTTGAATACTGGCAGGGTTCGGGAGCCTGGATTTTGGGAGTTATAGTTTGCCCACACCAAGAGAGAACTCTGAACCCAACCAACAATGAATCTGGACCAAACTAGGCACTCTTACCCATCATGGCCGACTTTGAATACTGGCAAGGTTTTGGGAGGAAATGTCCTTGAATTTTGGGATGTATAGTTCATCCACATCCAGAAAGCACTGTCAACCCAACAAACAATGGATCTGGACCAAACTTGGCACACATTCCCAAAACATGGTCAACTTGAAACACTTGGAGTGTTTGGTGGGAAATGAGCCAGGATGATGGGAGTTGTAGTTCACCCACACCATTATACATTTTCTAATGGAACCATTCATAAAACCCCAAAACAAGCAATGGCTTCTTCTAATGCTTATCCTTACGAAAAACCTAACCTAAGCTGATACTAAATAATTCTTATTTTCTTTCTATGGACAGCGAAAGTGGATCAGGTGAAGTTTGACATCACTCAGCTCCATGCGAGACCTGAATTAGCAGCTGAGCAACGAATGGCAGATGATGCTTCAGGGACAGTCCAAGTGAGTAAATCCTTTCCCAAACCTCCTTGATTGTATTGATATTATTTCAATACCATTTTTGGTAGCAGCAAGCATACAGACTTTGAGGGTAAGCTTTGTTGTTGGGTCTCAAAAACACAATTGAAGGTGGAACTTAGGATAATCAGGTGGAATTTGCTTTATTCTGAGCAGATCTAAACCCCAAATTACACAGATTTTTGGCAGAGCATTGGGGATTCAGGTGCAACTCTGCAATGTATGGGGTCAACTCTGAAGGTTTATCAGCGTTGGTTGGAATGAGCAATCTGTAGTGAGAGAAGAGGGTCAGATAATACACAAACAGTGTCTAAAATGTTGTGTAAAACATGAACTTCAGGGGGTGTCCAACTGTCTATAAACAGTTTAGGAGACATAAATGAATTTAGTGTTTAGACTTGGATCCCATCTTTAGGATTATGTATATGTGTATGTATGTGTATATGTATTCCAATTTTTTTTAAAAAAAAACCAAAATCCAAAACGTTTCCAAAAAGGGATTATCATATATTGCATTATGAGACCTATATAGGATATGTTCCTGGACTTCACATGGATCCATGTGGGTGCTAGAAATAATATCGTATGAAAGCTGACTGGCACAACCTGGGGATCAGAACCAGACACAGTGAAGACATCTGCCCTTGCGGTTTGCTATTCTGTTGCTGAATACGCACGTCCAGTGTGGAATACATCTCACCACATTAAAGCAGTGGATGTGGCCCTTAATGAGACATGCCGCATTATCAGAGGATGTCTACGCCCTACACCAATGGGGAAATTATACCGTTTAGCCAGTATTGCACCACCTGACATTCGTCAGAAAGTAGCAGCCAATAATGAAAGGACCAAGGCAATGACATCTCCAGCCCTTCCTCTCTTTGGATATCAGCCAGTGAGCAAATGCCTTAAATCAGGAAACAGCTTCCTAAGATCCACAGAGATATTTGCAGAACATCTCAGCAAGCAAGAGTCCAAAAGTGGCAGGCTAAAACCCAGAACCTCAATCCATGGCTGATACCAGATGAGAAACCCCTACTGGACACACAGAAGACTGGCCGATTTGGAAGGTGTTGCACAGACTGCACTCTGGCACCACGAGATGCAGAGCCAACCTTAAGAAATGGGGCCACGAAGTGGAGTCCACGACATGCGAGTGCAGAGAAGAGCAAATGACAGGCCACCTACTACAATGCAACCTGAGCCCTGCCACATGCACAATGGAGGACCTTCCTACAGCGACACCAGAGGCATTCCAAGTGGCCAGCTTTTGGTCAAAGGACTTTTAGTATAATTCCAAGTTTTTAACTTTGTGGTTTTAAATGCACTATAACTGTATCCTCAATTCACTTCGGATACAACACCACAACGACATGGATCCATGAAACCATGGATCATAGCAAACCCTATTATTTTCGATGGGGCAAATGCTGGATGACCTAAAACATGAGAATAGCTTGTACAGAAATGAATAAGTGAAAGCTTGGATGAGAGAAGCCATGTTCTGTGGATACAGTTGTCATACTATGCATTCATCCAACTTTGCTTCTTTTGTGTTCGTCACATACACATCTCACCTTGCTATTGTTTTCTTCTCTCTCCTTCTAGGTTTGGAGGATTGAGAATCTGGAGATGGTCCCCGTCAGTCCCAAGACCTATGGCCAGTTCTATGGCGGAGATTGTTACCTCGTCTTGTATACTTACATGAAATCGGGAAGACCTCATTACATTATCTATATGTGGCTTGTAAGTAAACCTGGGATGCAATTTCAATTATTCAGACACACCATCCAAGCAGTGTTTCAGAGCCACCAAAGTTATTAGTATTTTATGTTATTGTATTATTCTGCATTATATTTTCTTAGTGATTGTCAGAATCACTGGGTTGTTGTGAGTTTTCTGGGCTGTATGGCCATGTTACAGAAGCATTCTCTTCTGAAGTTTCACCTGCATCTATGGCAGGCATTCTCAGAGGTTGTGAGGCCTGTTGGAAACTAGGTAAGTCAGTGGGTTGTTGTGAGTTTTCTGGACTGTATAGCCATGTTACAGAAGCATTCTCTTCTGAAGTTTCACCTGCATCTATGGCAGGCATCCTCAGAAGTTGTGAGGCCTGTTGGAAACTAGGTAAGTCAGTGGGTTGTCGTGAGTTTTCTGTGCTGTGTGGCCATGTTCCAGAAGCATTCTCTCCTGACGTTTTGCCTGCATCTGTGGCAAGCATCCTCAGAGGTTACGAGGTCTGTTGGAAACTAGGAAAATGGGGTTTACATATCTGTGGAATGTCCAGGGTGGGAGAAAGAACTCTTGTCTGTTGGAGGCAAGTGTGAATGCTGCGATTAGCTATTTAATGGCCTTGATTAGCATTTAATGGAAACGTCAGGAGAGAATGCTTCTGAAACATGGCCATATAGCCTGTAAAACTTGCAACAACCCAGTGATTCTGGCCATTGAAGCCTTTGACAATAGATTGTCAGAAACATCTTACATTGGCAATACTGCATATTGGTTTTGCATTGCGCTATACATTCCACCATTGCAAAGAATAGAGGTATAGTCACTGTTGGATGTTTTTATGTTGAATGTTTTTATATTGTGTAAATGCTGTTTTAGATTGTAAGTTGCTCGGAGCACCTTGGTGGAGAGCGACTAATTAAGAAATAAAGTGAAGCGAAGGTATGGCAATCAAATGGTATACGTAATTTTATGCCATAATGTAGGGCCTTAAATACTCTAAAAGCACCAGGTTATCTTTGATCTTGGAAGCTAAGCTGGGTCAGCCCTGGTTAGGACTTGGATGGGAGACCGCCAGTGCTGCAGGTGGCATTTCAGAGGAATCACGCAGTTTAATATCACTTTTTAGGGCCGCCATGCTTCAGTCGATGAAGTTACAGCTTGTGCCTACAATGCTGTGGAGCTGGACAGGAAGTACAACGATGAACCGGTACAAGTTCGAGTGATCATGGGGAAGGAGCCGCGGCATTTCCTGGCCATCTTCAAGGGGAATTTGATCGTTTACGAGGTTAGTAAACCATCAAGAAAGATCTTGGAGCAGGGGAGGCACACTTGGATCATATAAGGGCACTATCAAGGTGTATGCGTTCCTATACTTTTGGAAACAGGTGTTGGAATGATACATGGATCCATAGTCATTATAAACATATTTAATCTCTCTTTCACTGACAGCCAGCATGATGCAGTAGTTTTGATATTGAATTAACTCTGATATTGAAAATGGGAAGAGTTAAAATCTTGTTTAAGTCAATGTTCTCCTTAGTAAATAATGATGATGATGATGATATTTTATATATACCCTGTATTTATATCCACTAGTATTGGGTTGTTGTAGATTTTTCAGGCTATATGGCCATGTTCTAGAAGCATTCTCTCCTGACATTTTGCCTGCATCTGTGGCAAGCATCCTCAGAGGTTGAAGATCTCTAAATTGTATTTCTTTTTTATTGTGAGTTTTGTTCAAGACAGAAAAGTGGAGTAATCATAATAGGTTTTCTGGCTAATACAGAATCCTCATACTTTTCTCTGCCTTAATTGTCACAGAAATACAAGGGCAATCTAAGGGCAATCACTTTATTTTATTTATCATGTCAGGAGCAAACCAAACCAGTTGTATTGCTTTAAAAAACAGACAAACAAATAAAACACAAAATTTGCAGTCTTGGTATTCTATTAAATGTCCTTTGACCAGTATCTGGCCACTTGGAGTGCCTCTGATGTTGCTGCAAGAAGGTCCTCCATTGTGCATGTTTCAGGGCTCAGGTTGCATTGCAGGAGGTGGTATGAGGTTTGCTCTTCTCCACACTCGCATGTCGTGGATTCCACTTTGTAGCCCCATTTCTGAAGGTTGGCTCTGCATCTCGTGGTGCCAGAGTACAGTCTGTTCAGCGCCTTCCAAGTCGCTCAGTCTTCTGTGTGCCCGGGGGGAGTCTCTCATTTAGTTTGAAGTTCTGGGTTTGAGCCTGCCACTTTTGGACTCTTGCTTGCTGAGGTATTCCAGTGTCTCTGTAGATCTTAGAAAACTATTTCTTGATTTAAGTCGTTGATGTGCTGGCTGATACCCAAACAGGGAATGGGCCAGATATATCACTGCCTTGGTCCTTTCACTATTGGCTGCTACTTCCCGGTGGATGTCAGGTGGTGCAATACCGGCTAAGCAGTGTAATTTCTCCAGTGGTGTAGGGTGCAGACACCCCGTGATAATGCGGCATGTCTCATTAAGAGCCACATCCACTCTTTTAGCGTGGTGAGATGTGTTCCACACTGGGCATGCATATTCAGCAGCAGAGTAGCATAGCGCAAGGGCAGATGTCTTCACTGTGTCTGGTTGTGAACCCCAGGTTGTGCCAGTCAGCTTTTTAGCGCTCACTTTTTGCTTGATATTTAGGCAGTGCTTCTTGTAGGTCAGAGCACAGTCCAGAGTGACTCCCAGGTATTTGGGTGTGCTGCAATGCTCCAGTGGGATTCCTTCCCAGGTCATCCTCAGAGCTCGGGATGCTTGTCTGTTCTTAAGATGAAAAGCACATGTCTGTGTTTTAGATGGGTTGGGGATCAGCTGGTTTTCCCTGTAATAGGCAGTAAGAGCACCTAGAGCTTCGGAGAGCTTTTGTTCAACCATCTCAAAGCTCCCTGCTTGAGCGGTAATGGCACGATCATCAGCATAGATGAAGCTCTCTGTCCCTTCTGGCAGTGGCTGGTCATTTGTGTAAATGTTGAACATGGATGGAGCAAGCACGCTATTTGCCCAGTCTGTGCTTTACTTCCATTATAATGCTCACCTCCACCCATTTTAAGCAAGGAGTTTCTCAGAAGGCCTGGAAATCATAGAATCATAGCATTGAAAGGGGCAGCAAAGGCCATCTAGTCTGTCCATTTACCATATAAGAAACAAACCCTAGATTCTAGAATCAGTTATGTTTTAGCACTTTAAGACCGTAGTTCTCCAATAGTTTTTGGCTTTCCAGGGGGGCACGAGTCGTGCCGAAAAGACCGAGCCTGAGCCCGCTGTTCGGCTCTTCCAAGTGCGAGGCACCGACGAGTTCAACACCAAAACCATTGAGGTCCCAGCCAGAGCTTCCTCCCTCAACTCCAACGATGTCTTCCTCCTGAAGACCAACCAAGTCTGCTACTTGTGGTGCGGGAAGGTGAGTGAAGGACAGTACCAAACCCACAAGGAGAGAAGGATAGGAGTTCCCCTCTCTTGGATGGGTGGATGGCCATCTGTCAGGAGGGGTTTGATTGTATACCCCTGTCTGCAGAATAGGGTTGGACTGGATAGCCTTTGGGGTCTCTTCCAACTCTAGGTTTCTATGATTCAGGAGTTCAAAGGGATCCCAAGCATCATCTAATACAGTCATGGACCAACTTGGGCCCTCCAGGTGTTTTGGACTTCAACTCCCACAATTCCTAACAGCCTACCGGCTGTTAGGAATTGTGGGAGTTGAAGTCCAAAATACCTGGAGGGCCCAAGTTTGCCTTTGCCTGTTCTAATAGAAAATTCATTCTTGGGGATCATTGTTATTAAACTAGTGATGAACCTTTTGTACATCCATCCAGGGATGCAGCGGGGACGAACGGGAAATGGCCAAAAACGTGGCCGACATCATCTCCAAACGGGACAAACAAACTATTCTGGAGGGTCAAGAGCCAGCAGACTTTTGGGCTGCCCTTGGAGGCAAAGCCCCATATGCCAGTGACAAAAGGTGAGGCATTCGGGGTTCGTTGTATCTTACAAATGGGCAAAATTGTATCTGATGGTTACTTCCATCCATATCGCCTGGACTGCATCGTGTAGCAAATTGTTGCTTCTTCTGCAGGAAAAATTCATAGTTTCCATCATAACTGTAAATTTGCTACTCTTATGAATAGTAATGTAAATATCTGATATGCAGGATGTATTTTCATTCACTGGACCAAATTTGGCACAAATACCCGATACACCCAAATTTGAATACTGGCGGGGTTTGGAGAGGGATTGATTTTGTCATTTGGGAGTTGGAGTTGCTGGGATTTATAGTTCACCTACAATCAAAGTGCATTCTAAACTCCACCAATGAACCAAACTTGGCACACAAAACTCCCATGACCAAAAGAAAATACTGGAAGGGTTTGGTGGGCATTGACCTTGAGTTTTGGAATTGTAGTTCACCTATGTCCAGAGAGCACTGTGGACTCAAACAATGATGGATCTGGACCAAAATTGGTACAAATACTCAATATGCTCAAATTTAAATACTTGTGGAGTTTATGGAAAATAGACTTTGACATTTGGGAGTTGTCGTTGCTGGGATTTATATTTCACCTACAATAAATGCACATTCTAAACTCCACCAATGATGGAATTGAACCAAACTAGGCACAAAGAACTCCCATAGCCAAGAGAAAATATTGGAAGGGTTTGATGGGCATTGACCTTGAGTTTTGGAGTTGTAGTTCACCTACATCCAAAGAGCACTGTGGACACAAACAATGATGGATCTGGGCCAAAGTTGGCACGAATACTCAAGATGCCCAAATTTGAACACTAGTGGAGTTTGGGGGAAACAGACCTTGACATTTGGGAGTTGTAGTTGCTGGGATTTATAGTTCACTTACAATCAAAGAGCATTCTGAACTCCACCAATGATGGAATTGAACCAAATTTGGCACACAGAACTCCCATGACCAACAGAAAATACTGGAAGAGTTTAGTGGAAATGACCTTGAGTTTTGGAATTGTAGTTCATCTATGTCCAGAGAGGACTGTGGACTCAAATGATAAATCTGGACCAAACTTGGCATGAATACTCAATATGTTTACTTCTTATGTCTATGTTTGATGTTTTTGTAGTTTTAACGGTTTTTATCTACAGTTATATGTTATTGATATGGATATGTGATATTTTTATATATATGTGAGGCATTGAATTTGCCATTTATTATGTTGTAAACCGTTTTGAGTCCCTCAGGGGTGAGAAGAGTGGTATACAAATGCAGATAATAATAATAATAATAATAATAATAATAATAATATGCCCAAATGTGAACACTAGTGGAGTTTGGGGAAAATAGACCTTGACATTTGGGAGTTGTAGTTGCTGGGATGTATAGTTCACCTACAATCAAAGAGCATTCTAAACCCCGCCAATGATAGAACTGAGCCAAACTTCCCATGCAAACTCCCCATGACCAACAGAAAATACTGTGTTTTCTGATGGTCTTCGATGACACCTTTGACACCCCCTCACACACACACACACCAGGGTCCTGACCCTCACATTGAGAAATGCTGCAATAAGGCCATATACACTTGTGAAACCAATAAAACAAATCCATCTGTCTTTGTAATAAACCAGGCAGAGTAAATAGATCAGAAAACACAGGCAGATTATCTGCGACTTTACATCATCACGGTACTGTTGATATAGTTGAGGAGGAAAACTAGCTTTACCTCTGTGTGTATACAGTGGTCCCTCGCTACTTCGCGGTTCTCTTTTTGTGGACTCGCTGTTTTGCGGTTTTTCAATAGGGACTTAAGAGCGTTTGTCTGTATGGAGAGGCTGCCTCTGCGGATAAAGCCAGGGCCAAGAATTATGTAAACAACACGTTCAAAGGGGGTTATGTAGTGTGGGGAGGGTTTATAAAGACTTAAAATAGTGTATAACTACTGTTCTGGTATGGCTATACCAGGAGCTCCAACTTTATTTGCTTTGTATTAAATGTTTGTTTGCAGTCCTAGGTTTCAGGGACTCTGCAGATAGGTGGCTTCCTTTGGTTGCAGTCGTAGGGCAAGTCACCTGTCCATCATCGTTAAGTTTTGGTCCCGCCCCTTGCTCAGGGCAATTGGGAAGGGAAGGGAGCCATTTTTTAGTTAGTCTCAGCAAGGAAAACTAATGTACAGGACGTGTGCAAGCTTCCCCTGTACAAAAGCTTCAACCCTTAAGACTTTCCAGGGGGAAAACAGTCTTAAGAGCATCAAGACTTTCCGGGGGGAAACAGTCTTAAGAGTCTCCAAAGATTTTCAGGAAAACAGCCCTAAAGACCAAAGAACTCCAGCTGGAGAATATCTAAACCTTTACTGGTAGGTCCACTTGGTGCTTTGAGACGCAGTTCGACCCGGTAGCGGAGCCCACATCAGTAAGAGTTAGATTACAGTCAGCCTGGGAGAAGTTAAAAAGGGGATTTTCATTTAAAGTAAAGAAGAAGTTATTGAAGACAGTTGCCTGTTCTTCGTGGGCAAGATTAGGAAGTCACCAGTTGCATAAAGTCTGGAAGCATTTGTTTAACTTTCTGAAGACAAGAGAAGTTTCTGTTTGATTGTTCATTGATAAAAGACTTTGTTATACTTCACAAGCCATCTAAAGCTCATTTATTTATTTATTTATTTACATCACTTATATCCCGCCCATATCAGCCCGCAGGCGGCTCAGGGCGGTCTACATATCGGCACAATTCGATGCCATCAATACAATACAAAAGCAAAAACAATTAAGTGCATTTAGACAAAAAAGACATTTGTGGTGGAAAACCTCTGAAAACTTCTCCTTGGGCCCCCTGGCTTCCCGCTGGGCAAAGGTTGCATGTCCTGTTCTAAAGGAAATTCTTTACAGGCCCAGCACATGACAGAACAACTACTAAAATAATGTATAAATATCAAAATAAATATAGCACCCCCACTTCATGGATTTTCACTTTTCGCGGGTCGTCCTGGAACGTAACACCTGTGATAAGTGAGGGAATACTGTATTTATATATTTATTTTTGCCCCATCTTTCTCCTGATATGGGTATTTAAGGAAATATATCCCTGACAACTTATAATTCCAGCCAATATTGGACAGACTACTGTACAGAAAGAGAAAGCAAGAAATAAAACGCTTGGCTTCTCGATTGGCCATGATCATCAACCATCTCCTTGCAATTATGGATGTGTGCACTCATGGGATAAATGTTGCTTCTGTGGGTTATTGAGCAATCACCACTCAAAACTATAAAAGTCATTAAAAAGTAATTGCAAAGGAGATGGCTGATGATCACAGCCAATCAGGAACCCAGGCATTTCGCCTCCGTTCCTTGATTTCTCTTGCTACTTGGACGTCGATTCTTTATTGCCTCAAATTATCATAGTTTGGGTGGGACTGGAAGGACTATCCCTCATCCCATGCTTCACTTCTTATCCGTTTTTGCTCTGCCAAGGTTTCAAGAAGAGGTGGCCCACTACCAGCCACGTTTGTTCGAATGCTCCAACCAGACGGGACGGTTCATCATGACGGAGATCATGGATTTTGGCCAGGATGACTTGGATGAGGATGATGTGATGCTGCTGGATACTTGGGAAGAGGTCAGTGGTAGGAAAACCATACCTTGGGAAGTCAGACTTGGCCACGGTGGTCCACGCTCTTGTTACATCTAGAATAGACTACTGCAACACACTCTAAGTGGGGTTGCCTTTGAAGACTGCTCGGAAACTTCAAATAGTCCAACGAGAGGCAGCCAGGTTAATAACTGGGGCGGCATACAGGGAGCATACAACTCCCATGTTACGCCAGCTCCACTGGCTGCCAGTTTGCTACTGCACAATTCAAAGTGCTGGCTTTGGCCTATAAAGCCCTAAACGGCCCCAGCTCAAGTTATCTGTCCGAACGCATCTCCCCCTATGAACCATCACGGAGACTAAGATCCTCCGGGGAGGCCCTGCTTTCCATCCTGCCATTGTCAGAGGCACGATTGGTGGGGACAAGAGACAGGGCCTTCTTGGTGATTACTCCCCTGCTATGGAACTCCCTTCCTGGTGAGATCACACCGGCTCCCTTCCTCCTGTCCTTTAGAAGGGTGGTCAAAACTTGGCTGTGGAACCAAGCTTTCAGGACAGGGCAATGAAGCGGCAATGGGAAAGATGACAGGGCCAATTGGATTTGATGCGGATGGCTAGGACGGTTTTAAATGGTGTTATTTTAAATGGTGTATTTTAATATTTCGATAAATTTTTTTAACATTTATGTATTGTATCCAGGCATTGAATGTTTGCCCTGTATATGCTGTGCTCCGCTTCGAGTCCCCTTCGGGGTGAGAAGGGCGGAATATAAATGTTTTAAATAAAATAATAAATAAAACTACACTTTGCAAAAGACATTATGCATCAAAGCATTCAGAAAGAAGAATACTCTCTGGGCTTCTGCACCCATGCCTTCTGCATCCACAAATCGATCCAACCATGGCTCAATAATATTTGGAAAACACTCCAAAAAGCAAAGCTTGATTTTTGCTGCAGGCTGAGCACTACACCGATGTGTAGGCAGGTATCCTCTTCTGTCACTTACCACCATAGTAGTTTTACAAGGTCTGGTACAGGATGTATGGTGGGTGCATCTGCACTGTAGAGTTAATGCAGTTTAGCACCACTTTAATTGCCCTGGAATGCTATTAAATTCTTGGGAGTTTTAATTTGGTCAGGCAGCATCACTTTTTGGCAGATAAGGGTAAATACCTTGTAAAACTACAACTCCAAGGATGGTGAAAGTGGAGTTAAACTGCATTCATTCAACAGTGTAGATGCACACTGGGGATTGATCCAAGAATGTATTGCCTTTCTGCCTATCGCTCTCCCTATCTTGGATCCAAGGCAAGATAGGGAATCGTGTCATATCACCAATATCTTAGGAGTTCCCGGTGGTGCAGTGGGTGAAACCCTTGTGCTGGCAGGACTGAAGATTGACAGGTTGGAGGTCTGAATCCAGAAGGAGCACAGATGAGCTCCCTCTGTCAGCTCCAGCTCCCCATGCAGGGAAATGAGAGAAGCCTCCCACAAGGATGGTAAAACATCAAAAACATCCAGGTGTCCCCTGGGCAATGTTCTTGCAGACGTCCAATTCTCTCACACCAGAAGTGACTTGCAATTTCTCGAGTCACTCCTGACACACACACACAAAAACAATGTCTTTATGGATCGCCATAAACAGAAAACTACAAGGGTAAAGTAGCTAAGAGATGAAATCATCCATCCTCATCACCTGATCTTCTTCAGTCCACATTCTGTGTTTATGCAGCTGAGTATTTTGTAATGGCCAAGATGCAAAGCCTTCTTGTAAGTGTTTATATGTAAGCTGAAGATCCAAAAATGGCAAAAAGGAAATGCTAGCACCATCTAGTGACTAGTGTGCCGAAAGCCAAACCTTTGCTAATGTACACAGATATTCTGTTTACTTCATGCTGTCCCAAGGTGTTTAAATGATGGACTCACATTGGGAAAACGACTTGGAAGCACACAAGAAGAAGAATGGGTGATGGTTATGCAGCGATAACATCTAGTCATCATTCTAAATTCTGGGAGAGGAAACAGACATTGGACAAACCCTAAAGCCAACCTGTTTTGCTGTGGATGACCAGGGAACAGTACTGTCGCTAGCATGGCTCTCACCTGGTGCTACATCCATACCTTCTCCTATACCAGAATCTTCTAGGACAAGTAATATTAATTGGTTGATTTGTCTTTTTGTACCACAAAGGCTTCTACGTGGCTTGATGAATCTGGACCATTCTTGGCACACAGACCCTTTGTTACCCCACTTGAAATAATTAACGGATTTGAACTAAAGGAATGATCCCTTTTTGGGTCCAGAGCTGAGGGAAAGAAAAGGAACAAAGCAGATTGGCGGTGGCTAGGTGAAGGATTGGCTGTTGCTAGGTGAAGTGGCCCTCTGTGATGTCACTGGGAAAGAAGTTTACATGTATTTAAGGAGGAGGGAAGAAGAGAGAGAAAAAGAAAGAAAGAAAGAAAGAAAGAAAGAAAGAAAGAAAGAAAGAAAGAAAGAAAGAAAGAAAAAGAGAGACTAATGGAAGAGGAAGACATTGTAAGATAAGCCTTCTTAGAGCTGGGGAAGGGAGAAAGTAGGTAGGCAACAGTCCCAATGCCATCAGGCAACACTGGATATAGATCAGGCATGGGCAAACAAAGGCCCGGGGGCTGGATACGGCTGCCTGGGCTCTTTTCTCAGGCCCTCTTTCTCACCATCCTATCCTTCCTTTTTTTTTCTCTTCCCTTCCACCTTCCCTTCTTTCCTTGCCTCCCTCTTTCTCCCTCCCTCCCTCCTTCTCTTCCAGCCTTTTGTCCTTTTCCCCCTCTTTTCTTCCTCCTTCCCTATTTCTCCTTCCTTCCTTCTCTCTTTCCTCCCTCCCTCCACTCCCTTCCACCCTCCCTCCCTTCCTTCCTTCTCTCCCTTCCTTCCTTCTCTTTTTCCTTCCTCCTTTCCTCCTGGGAGATTTTTAGCTGGGAGAAGAGAAGGTAGAGAGGGCACATGAGGACCATGTTTCAAGATTTGAAAGGGTCTCCCATTGAAGAAGAGAGGGAAAACTGACTTTCTGCTGCTCTAGAGACCAGGGCACAAGAGATTGGTTCAAATGGCAGAAGAAGAGATTCAAATGAAAAGATTAGGAAGAACTTCCTGAGAGTAATCTCTGTTGGAGAGTGGCATAGTCTGCATGGGAATGTGGTGGAGTCTCCTTCTCTGGAGGCTTTTCTGCAGAGGCTGTCTATTGGGAGTGCTTTGATTGTGTCTTCCTGCATGGCAAGGGGTTGGACTGGATGGCCCTTGGGGGTCTCTTCCAGTTCTAGGATTCTAGGATTTTATATCAGGAGGAGGCAATATGCGGTCTAATTGATACACCTTTTCTCTCCCGTCCACCATCTCATTCTGACCAAGGCCAACCCTTTTTGGAATCCAAAAATTTCCATCTTTCCTTCACTTTCTGCCTCCAAAAGAGAAGATGAAGGGGGGAAAGGACAGGGAGGGGGCTTTGGGAGAACCCCCTCCCTCCGGGTCCACATGTTGGAGCTCAGCCTGTGATTGCGTTTAAGGATCAGGGTGCTTTGAATGTGGGGAGGGATGTCAATGAGGTCCATGAAGGAAATTGTGTTTCTAATGATATTGATGCAGAGAATGATCAGGAGATCCCTGTTCAAAGTGTGTTTGAACATGAGAATGTCCCTGAAGGGTGTGGGGATGATAGTGTGCTCCCTGAGTTGCTACCAGAGAATTCCCATTATTTGGAGCTTGAGAACAGCTCAGCACCTGTCCCAGCTGCAGAAATTAATGAGCAAACAGGTTGTGATTAGTCAAAACAGGCAAGCCGATCAGTGGCTCCGGCATTCTGCTGGGCTCAGAGAACGAAAGATAAGAGATTCAAGGCTAAAGCGAACCCAATTTCTGGCCGCTTGGGATATAGCTTAACGAGGAGATTAAGGTCCCAAGTACAGGATCTGTAGTCAGATGAAGCATTGTTTAGAATCTCGTCCATTTCTTATAAGTCTTGCTTTGGAAAGATTCATTTTTTTAAGTTCCTTTGATTCATGGTTTTGATTCTTGGATTTTATGATTATGTGCTTAAGTGCTATGGATTCATGTTTCCAGTGTTTTGGATTATTTTATAGAAGTTTCTGCCTTTGTTTCCCATGGACTTTGATGGACTAATTCCTTGGACTATTTTTTTCTGGCTTATCTTCTTACCTAATTGGATTTACCTATATCTTTAAAGTGCTTTTTACTTTTACTGCTTTTTAATTATCTTCAATAAACGGATTGTATTTCTATTCAACAGTGTGGTGTTTAAAGTCAGAGGGCTCTTCCTGGTCCCCTCTTCAGCCTACCAAGTTAGAAAGTTTGCCCATGTCTGTTATAGATAATAGTCCTGCAGCTAAAATGCCCAAAGAATTGAAATTATGCCTGTCTTTAATATACGTGTTTTATTGGTCTTGTTTTTCCTTATGTATTTTAATTGTGTTATACCCTGCCTTGAGCCTTAGCTCTCCCTCTGAGTTTCTAATCTCCCACTCCCGTCTTGCAGATTTTCCTTTGGATTGGCAAGGGTTCGAACAGCTACGAAAAGAGCGAGGCAATTTCTTCAGCCAGAGACTACCTCAAGACCCATCCGGCTGGGAGAGATCCATCCACCTCAATCATCATGGTGAAACAAGGCTATGAACCTCTGAACTTCACTGGCTGGTTTACTGCTTGGGACCCATATAAATGGAGTGTAAGTGACTGGGAAAGCCATTTCTTTTTGTAGGAAGCATGCAAAGTCCTCTACTCCTCCTCCTCTTCTTCTTCTTCTACTTCTTCCTCCTCCTCTTCTCCTTCTTTCTCCTCTTCCTCCTCTTCTTCTTCTCATTCCTTTTCTTCTTCTTCGCCTCCTCCTCCTCTTCTTTTTCTCTTTCTCTTTCTTGTTTTTCCTTTTCCTCCTCCCCTTCTTCTCATTTCTCTTATTCTTCTCCTTCTTCCTCTTCTACTTCTCTTTCTTCCTCCTCCCTCTTCCTCTTCTCTCTCTCCTCCTCCTTCTCCTCCTCCTCTTCTTCTTCTGTTGATGATTTTGATGATGTTATAAAATAATTGCAGCCGGCCCTTCATATCCCCAGATTTTGTATCCACGGATCCAACTATCCATGGCTCGAAGTTATATTTTTAATTATAAAATTACAATAGCAAAGCTTGATTTTGCTATTTTACAAGAGTTGAATGAAAAATAATGTCTCCACCTTCATAACTCCTCAACAGATGGCAGTACTTGTATGCAGCAGGTACTGGCTTGTTCAGTAGACTCTCCTCTACAGTTCCATTTTGGCGGGAAGCCTTAGCATTGAACGGTTGTGTTGTTAAAGTGCTAAGTATGTAGCCCTGAACAGATGGTCGGTCAATGCGACTTAAGCAGCATGCAGTCATTGACAGCAGAAGGTGTCACTCCAAAGGAGATTAATCAGTGAATGCAAATTGTTTATGGTGATTGTGTTGATGTGAGTACTGTGCATCATTCGGCAAGTAAGTTTAAAGATCTTGAAATGGGAACATCTGACTTGCTTGACAAACAAAGAGTTGGACATCCTGTGACAGCAACCACCAAGTTTCACAAGCAAAAGGTTGACAGATTGATTCAGGACTATTGTCATATCACTCAGAGAGAAATTTCAAGCATAATTGGCATTTCACAAGAACGTGTGGGTCACATTATTGCTTTGCTTGGCTATCAGAAGCTCTGTGCATGATGGGTACACAGCAGAACTTCATAGACTGAATCTCATCACCGTACGGCATCCTCCATACAGTCCAGATTTAGCACCGTCTGACTTCCATCTGTTTCCAATAATGAAAGAAGATCTGCGAGGACATCATTCTGCTTCTGATGAGGATGTTGAGAGAACTGTGAAACGCTGGTTGCAGAAACAGAGTGTCGACTTCTTCTGTGACGGCTTCAGAAAACTTGTTCATTGTTGGCAGAAATGTATCCAATTGTCTGGTGATTATGTGGAAAAGTGAATAGTGGTAGAAATAGCAGATTCTAAGGATTATTTCTGCATTTGATTTATTAAAATATTGGGTTGTTGTAGGTTTTTTCGGGCTATATGGCCATATTCTAGAGGCATTCTCTCCTGACGTTTCGCCTGCATCTATGGCAAGCATCCTTAGAGGTTGTGAGGTCTGTTGGAACTAGGAAAAAGGGTTCATATATCTGTGGAATGACCAGGATGGGGCAAAGGACTCTTGTCTGCTGGAACTAGGTGTGAATGTTTCAACTGACCACTTTGATTAGCATTTGATTGCCTGGCAATGCAAAATATTAAAATATTCCCATCCAAACCCAAGTAACGAAGGTGGAGGCATTACTTTTCATTCAACCCTTGTATGTAAGGATTGCCATTTTACTATATCCTTGTATATAATGGGACTTGAACATCTGTGGGTTTTGGTATCCACTGATACCAAATATTCATCAAGTTCATAAATCAGATTTGAACCCTCCACTCATCCCTCTAGTCTCACTCATGCTGGATCTATGCTGCCATATAATCCAGTTTCAGGATGCAGATTAACTGTTTTGAGCCGCATTCTCATACAATCCAGTTCAACGCCATTAACCTGCATTCAAAAACAGGATGGCAGTGTAGATGGGGCCTCTGTTTATCATTCCTGGGTTGTCCAGCCCAGGCTTCTGTGACAGCAAAGCAGCAAATCTGCCTCTTGCTGCTGGATGACACAACTGGTGCGCTTTTCACACATTAATTGAAAGCTTCTTGGGAAGCATATGGCTCCTGTCATGCCTTCCCCTGAGTCGCTTCTGTTCATTTCAATGAGGCTCACAGAGAAGAGGTTCCCAGGTGAGGGAGTCCAGCAGCAACACACTGCGTAAGCTGTCACAGAAGTGCCAAAGCATTTGACAGGTTGCTAATGAGGTGCTATTCAGATGCACATTGGCAGCAGCTCAGTGCAGTTTAATTTAGCAGCTCTTCTTCTTGCCCACCTCCTTCTTCAGCTTTCTTTTCCTGCGATACGGTGCCTGTTTCGTGCTGTTCAGGGTAGCCAAACCCATGAAAGTCTGCCATATTTCCCTTTGGGTAACTAAGAGGGTCTTATGGATCTAATGGTTGTGATATTTTCTCCTTTTAGGATGGCAAGACCTACGAGCAAATGAAGAGCAGCCTTGGAGATGTATCAGCCATATCGGAGATCACTGTGGTAAGTATGTTTGGGACCAGATGTTGACGTTTCCTCAGACAAAGTGGTGGCTTGCTTCTCTCTCATTTTGACCTAATCACAATGTATGGTGTGTACGTGAGCAGCTTTCCTATTGTCAAAGTCCTCCACAAGGGTTTTGGTAGCATACATTTCTACATATGGGCGCATACAGTGATTGTGCTGCACTACCCCTTGATGTCATTGCTGTTGTCCACCTTCAAGTCATTTCCAAGTTGTTGTTGTTGTTGTTGTTCATTCGTTCATTCATTTCCGACTCTTCATGACCTCATTGACCAGCCCACGCCAGAGCTCCCTGTCAGCCGTCACCACCCCCAGCTCCTTCAAGGTCAATCCAGTCACTTCAAGGATCCCATCCATCCATCTTGCCCTTGGTCTGCCCCTCTTCCTTTTTCCTTCCATTTTCCCCAGCATCATTGTCTTCTCTAAGTTTTCCTTTCTTCTCATGATGTGGCCAAAGTACTTCATCTTGGCCTCTACTATTCTTCCCTCCAATGAGCAGTCGGGCTTTATTTCCTGGAGGATGGACTGGTTGGATCTTCTCGCTGTCCAAGGCACTCTCAGAACTTTCCTCCAACACCACAGCTCAAAAGCATCGATCTTCCTTCGCTCAGCCTTCCCTAAGGTCCAGCTCTCACATACGTAGGTGACTATGGGAAATACCATTGTTTTGAGGCAAAGCAATGGTATTTCCAAATATGCAACCCTAAAAGAGTTTTCCAGAATTGAGAGTGTGTGAACTGCATCAGGTCAACTAGTGGGTTTCTACAGTTGAAAACAATAGAATTTGAACCAACTTCTTCAGAGCCATAGTCCAGCACTAAGGCCACCAGGCATACTGGTTCCATCCAACATGTATCTGCATTGCAGTCAATTGTGGACCTTGAAATGGATGCAGGGGCGGCTCATCCATTACGCGAAGTAAGCGTCGCAGAACACTTTTTTTTACCAGGGGCGCAGAGGCGCCTCTGTAAATGCCCCTCGACTGCCACTTGAGGAGCGCCCCCTCAGCTCACAACAGCCCTAGCAGTTGGGGGGAGCCTCAGCTTTCTTGCCTCGCTGCCGGGCGATCCTCTTCCCAAAGGGGCCGGGCCCTTGAGCCTCGCCTAGCCCCTCTCTTTCCTGCTCTACCCAGCCACCGGGTGCACAAGCAGAGCTGGTGCTCAATCGTTCTCCGCAGTCGATCCCTTTCCCATGACCGGCTCCCTTTCCCTTTTCCTGTGCCTGGCCCGCTTTGGGTCCGGAGGCGTGTCTGAAGACCCCAGTGTGCGCACCAAAAGTCGCCTCTTCTCCTGACTTTCTCTTCAGCCATTGGGACCAAGAGAGAGAGAGAGAGAGCCCCTCTGGCTGGAGGTATCTCCCACCTCCGCTCCCTCCTTTGTTTTTGCGCCTACCTTCAGGAAAGGTGGGCATCTCCACCTCTCTCTCTCTCTCGGTCCCAATGGCTGAGGAGAAAGTCAGGAGAAGAGGTGACTTTTGGTGCACATGTCGGGGTCTTCAGGCATGCCTCCAGACCCAAAGCGGGCCAGGCAAGGGAGCAAGTGCGGCAAGTGTAGTTACTGGGATGTATAGTTCACCTACAATCAAAGAGCATTCTGAACTCCACCAATGATGGAATTGAACCAAATATGGCACACAGAACTCCCACGACAAACAGAACCTTTATATATATATACTAGCTGTGCCCTGCCACGCATTGCTGTGGCCTATAGTAAAACTTATCAAAGTTGAGATAGATATCTGGACTATTATGAAAGAGAGGTACCTACCTATTCCTTCCCCCTTTTCCTCCCCCCTTTCTCTCCTTTCTTCCTTCTCTACCTCTTTCTTTCTTTCCTTCTTTCACTACTTGGTTTCATCCTTCTCTCTTTCCTTCATTCCCTCCCCCTTTCTTCCTTTGCCTTTCTTCCCTCCCTGTTTGCTTCCTTCTTTCACTTTTTATTTCCTTTTATTTCACCACCATCATAACAATAACAATAATGCAATGCATTGCCTCCGGGACCTGACACCTCTCCCATTCCCCCTAAAAGGGTCTCAGAGGAACAATAGCATAATAATAATAATAGAAATAACAACCTTTACCCGCCACGTGTTGCTGTGGCCAATCTTCCCTCTTTCTCTCCTTCTTTCCCTCCCTCCTCCCTCCCTCCCTCCCTCCCTCCCTCCCTCCCTCCCTCCCTCCCTCCCTCCCTCCCTCCTTCCTTCCTTCCTTCCTTCCTTCCTTCCTTCCTTCCTTCCTTCCTTCCCATCTTTCCTTCTCCTCTTCTTTCTCTATCTCTTTCCTTCCCCCTTTTTCTTTCTCTTCTGCTGTCTCTCTTTTCTTTCCTTCCATCTTTCCTTTTCTTTCCTTTTCTTCTTCCTCTAACTTTCCTTCCTTCCCCCTTTTTCTTTACCTCCCT